ACGATTGTCTTAGTGTAGGCCTTACCTACCACTATCTCTGAAATACCGGATACCCCCAAAATTGTCCTGACCTGTGCCTTTAATGTGATCCAAAAACGGCAGTCAATTACTTTTTCGAGCCACAGCTCTCTCACTTCTGGAGAGATGGCATCAGTGATTGGCTTAAAGGATAAAAGAAAGTTGTTGACTTCTTCGGTACTTATTTTTCCGAAAATTGATTGATATGAAAAAGTTTAGAAATGATTTTAAAAAGGTCTCCGTTTTGTCGCAGGACTTATTTGCCAACCTAATAGATAGAACATTCATATGTATATAATAATTTTTCCGTTCAGCGTAAAGGGAGTACCAGCTAGGTAATGGGAGATACTCCAAATAGCGGCCACAAAAGTTAGCATTCGAAGCAGCCTACTAACTAGGCAAATTTCACCGAGTGGATACCACAAAACAACGCTTTTTTTGGAACTCTTTTCTTCTGACTTCAGCATCAGGAATTGTATAGTGCTTCAAAATTATGAGTCAACATAACACTACTACCTATGAAAAAATGTGAAAGCAGAAATAATTTGCTTCAGGACGGTGACTTATTCCTACGTAATGTCCGTAAGCTCGATAGTGGTTGGTACGTATGCGCAGCTTTGGACCCATCCGGAGAACAATCGCGAGCTTCTGCTTTTCTCAATGTACTATGTGAGTTTTTATTTGCAGAAAACATATCGCGAAAAAAAGGCGGCAGAGCTACAGTAGCGCTCAAAAGTCTTCGGTGAAATGATTCTTCAGCCGTACTTTTCAGTCGTAACTCCTTTCCTACTGGATCTAATAAAGCGAAATTTCTATATTAGGAACGTGGGTTTATTGTGAAGATTTACCACTATTAACCTGCAATCTGATCATGTTCCAGATGTTCCAAAGGGCATGAAAATAAAATCGACTAAAAATACAGATGATGGTCCTTCCAGAAATTGTTTCCTTTTTATCATGTCTAAAGTGTACGAGCGGTAGCGACGAACACAATAGATGGAAAAAACGCACGTAAGGTGCGAATAAGTGCAAACGTCAACAACTTTACTTTTAGCAAAATCTGCTACCGCAAAAAACACCTTGCTCTATCTGTGGATGTTGCAGCTTTGCAGTCAAATAGTGTTGGGTAGGGTGAAATATGCCCTAGTTAAACATATCCGAATTTCGCGCGATTTGGTTTACTAAGAAAAAAGTTATGAACGAAAAAGCGTTAAAGCATTTCACCGAAGACTTTTGAGCGCTACTGTATATAAATCGCAAATGTCCGTTTCTCTGTTTGTGTGTTTATACGTTTGTCCGTTTGTCTGTTTGTCTGTAACACTATCTTATATGGTACCGTTTGGAAATCAACCGGAACAGCTCAGACGGGCTGGAATAAGTGGGGAATGAGCCGAACTCCTTTGGTGCACGTGTCTTAAGCTAGCTTCGCCCGCCAGAGTGGAGCGTTCCACTAGGGGCGGGGCATGCGCGAAAGCTGTAGTTCATCGAAATCTGTAACTCCTGTTCTCCTGGGCCCAGAGTATTAAAATTTGGCAGAGATGCAGGCGGCAAGATGGAAAACTATGGCAGGTGGCAAGTGTAGGCTCCGCCCACTGCGGGCGGAGCTTCCTCACAAATATTAAATTTGGACTTGGAGCGTTCAAATTTGGTAGAGATGTAGGCGGCAGACGATATTCAGAAATTTTTAAGGTAGAAATAATTCTTATGCAACTGATTAATAACACTACCTGTTATTAATCAGTTGCATAAGAAGGTTTACTTGCAATATGCATGGTCACTGATGTGGAGCTTCCAATATCTTTCAGATGAAGGAGGTTCATTCAATGCCACTTGCAATCATTGACACGCGAGAGGTGGAAGGGCATTATGAAATTCTTTGGGATTTTTATAATAACCGTATAGGAGGCTAATAAACCATATAGAAAAGAAGATAGAATCAGAGACAAACCAGGAAAGGTAGAAAGGTAGAATATTTCTGAGGAGAAGACTATTTAAATGGTTCGTCTGCCAATCGGTCGGGATTCTGGGTGACCCATCAAAAGGAAGTCAACGGGCACGGCTTATAGGAATTATCGCGATAGATGAATATCATGCAGAAGCTTCACTTCCATTCATATCGTATGCAGAAACTTCGCTTCAATTCCGCTCTCAGCAGACACCGCAGGGCCAAAAAATGCGGAAAGTTGCAGACCCACTTGAGTGGCGACACGCAACCCTTTGTCGTTTTCTCTGGCCAAAAAATTTTTTACGATAAAACCATCCCTCAGCAACCAAAACGTTCGCGTTCCGGAAAGAAACATCTAGCGTGTAATATCTCACAAGAAGGTTGCTATAAAAACAGAGAAACGCTGTTTAGCGAGGAAATAACTGCCACTCGTGGTTTCTTCGGTGAAGGCTTGAAAGTTGATCAAGACCAGTAATCAACCAGCGTACTGATGGAAGTGATGAAGCACTGATCCGATTACGTTTTCTGAAACTTCTCTCAAACCTTCTAGCAAGAAGCTACTGCAGCCCACGGAGCCAAGCTTGCCTGCGAGTGGTGCCGACAGCATCTGCCCGACTTCATTGGTAAAGAGGAATGGTCATCCTATTTTCCAGAACTTCACTTACTTGACTCTCACGAATGGTCTCTGATTAGAAAAGGACCTGTCGAGTTTGCAGTCTCACTTGGAGTCTTAGGACGCAAAGGCTGAAGAACGGCTGGGAAGAAATGGCGAAGGATACCGGTGTGCCACATGCGATCAAGTCGAGGGCAAACATTGACTTCTATCCGCGCTCATGGGGGATATTTTGAAATGCGACTGTAGTATGTTGTAGAACATGATTTTAGCTAGCACGCGTAGAATTTCCATCGTCTTTCGCAGCTGACAACTTTCAGATATATTGCTATGAATCGGCGCCAATAGTTTTGGGACATCCTGTACATATGTACTGCAAATTACTTTGAAGTAGGAAGTATCAGGCTTCAAACCGGCAGCGATACTACCACTTCATTGTAACCTAACAGTATTCATGAGAAAATGAAAGCGAAAAATATAAAAAGCAAAAGAAAACGATAAAAAATAGCGAAATAGACGAATGCGAATAGACAGAATACAGGTGAATGCGCAATTTGGCGTCTAATAGTGGTAGTTGGGTGGGCAATTGATAGGTCAGTTAGCATGGTCAGAAGATCGAATCACCTGGGCGAGTTGTCCAGCTCAGAAACCGCGTCGAATGGGCGGCGCCACGAATGCAATTATAAGCTCATGCGCCCCAACGCAAGTTTGATGCGAGGGGCCGCGCCAAACGACATACACCCCTTCATATGATGTCATTATTGTGAAGAGCGTGGCTCATAACAGATGATTCGACGGTTTACAACAGTTGGTACTATTCTACTATTACACCCCAAAAAACTCAAAATTTTATTTTTCGACGAAATTTTGCCCTATAGGGGTTCCGATGCCCTGATAACGAATATGACCTTCACTTTTGGCGCTTGCGCCAATTGATGCCAATTTGGCGTCAAGGGTGTTTTCACAAAATTTGCTGAAAGCTTACGTTTAGGGGTTGTTTGAGGTCCTGATAACGAATATAACATTCATTTTTGGCGCTGGCACCATGGCGCCAATTGGCGCCTAATCAGGGTATGGGATTACCCCTATCGGCGAAGTCTCATCGAAAATAAAAAATTTGACTTTTTGGGGGTGTAACAGTAGAATAGTTCTGGGGGTGTAATAGTAGAATAGTACCCAACACTTTAAGAATAATAAGTGAATACCTCGCAGAAATTGAATAATTGAGCATTTCGCATAGTCATAGTTGAGAAGAAGTCAAGCTTTACGTTGCCATGGAAGAGCATGACGAAACTCATTAGGGAAGCTAACGACATCGATGCAATACCCTTTTACTGTGCTCTGCTCTCATTTTTGAGAGATGAAGATTACGGTACTTTGTTGGTGCAGGGAGATACAATGAAAGTGCGTTTTCGTTAGGAACATGCGCGGACAAAAGAACATGCGCAAACCGAGGGTGCGAGAAGGCAGTATAAAGTGGCGAAGCAACTCTTTATCTAGCTGATAACTCTTTTTTTCCTAGTATGACTAATTCGCGCTCATCAAACGTACTTGAACTTGGTACCATTAATGTCGCTTCTCATGACATCATTAACTTAATTCATAGAGATTAGCGGGGTTGAGAAGTCTTCACGATAACATGCCACGTATTTCGCAAAATCAAAGCTATTTTTACTTTTTCTGTCCCCAATTGCAAGTGCTGATGAAAACATGACCAGTAAAAAGGTTGTGTCGTCATCGAAAATGCCTATCACACACTATTACAGGCTTTTCAGAAAGTTCAGCTTTTACAGATCCTCCAGAAGTGCTACCGTCACATCGCCAAGTTTTGACTATCGGCTACGGCCAGAATAGTTCATTGGTGTGTTCTGTAGATGGAAATCCAAAGCCAAATACTTACACGTGGTCTAAGAACGGCCACTTCGTAACGAAAACAACAGAGGTTAGCGAAAAATATAAATTACCGTACTAAGGTAGACGAGTACTGCGTGAGGAATATGCAAGTAGGACTGGTTCTTGATTAAGGTGGATGAAAATGTGAAAAACTGTTTGTTTTGCCTTCATGGTGCATCATGGAACAGTGATCTACTAAACGCCCATTTGTTGATGCGCATCAATACTCGAAACATTGGCTCAACTCTCATATCCAGAGCTGTTTGCCTATTGGGCATTCGGCATCAACGATCGTGCCGCTGTTAAGAGTGCGTCGGCTATTGGGAATATTCACGTAGGAGGTAACAAATGCGTTGCATGTTTGACAGTCCCGGCTGTACTAGGTCGATTTGTTATACGAGGCTAACCTACGCAAACCACCGTCGGCCAGATATTGTATGACGGAAGCCTGCAACCATGCAAGGGGTGCACTATAAATGATAGCAACTTTAGCGTGAATTTGCTCGTTTGGCAATCTGCACTTTCTTTTGTGTTTACTATAGACTTTAATTCACACATCTGCTTTGCTGCTCTCAATTAGCTTGAATTTTTTCAAGATTGTATGACATTGCTTTTATTTAGAAACCAATCCGTCTTTGCGCGCCTTTCTAGTGAATCCTTTACGAAATCGCTCGTCGATTCGACATTTCTCACATAGCAGTGGGGATGTCGATGAAGATCCTCGGATCGGTCGCTCTCGCACAGTTGTCCGAACCTCAGGGTATATGTACGTTTGTCTCAACGAGTGGCGACGGGGAGTCGGTATTTAGCCCGAAACTACTAACTTCGCACCTTCCTTGCCCATACACTCACTCGCCTGCGGGGTGACCTCTCTTAATTGGTTGGTGGCTGGTCTCTCTGGCAGTCCTAGTGAAGCAATATTGATTCTATGGATTTGAAACTTTCTCGTTATTATTATAACTATTATTGTTATTATTATTGTTACTAGTACACATTTTAAAATAATGTGCGTTGAGGACAAAACAATGTAAAAATTCAAAAACATCATACTATCTCCCTTCTAGCTTTAGACTCAAAAACATTTTAAGGGCAATGGGTACCGATAGCTAAGTTACTTTCCTACCAGAAAGTCGTACCTGCCACTCTGCTTCACAGCCATAGTGGCGAATTTACAGACACCTGATGCGCACTATTTCAAGAACTTTTCGTATTCCTAGGGCAATAATAACTAAATGAGCAAATGTACGCATAACTCTCTATTTTGAGTGTGGTCTAGTGGCAAGTGGCGCACTATCTCACACGCACGGTCAGGGATTCGAATCCCGGATTGATATCCGCCTGAACCAACCAACCCTTCCATCCTCCGGGATCGGTTAATTGGTACCGGGAGGATAAAGGCACTGACTTGTGAATTGGCTGGCCACCGCAAGCCATTGTATGGCCTCCATTCGCACTCATTACGCCACTACGATTCTGAATGGAAGTTGAGTGCGATGGCGCATCTCTCAGACGGGATTGATTATCGCTAGGACCTTTATCCTTTATTATTATAATTTAGTAATAATAATGATAACGATAAAGTTTCCGACTCATTTAATCAGTATTAGTTCATCTAAGACTGCCAGAGAGGTCAGCAACCAACCAATTAGGAGAGGTCACCACACAGGCGAGTGAGCGGAGATGCGAAGAAGGTGCGGGGTAGGTAGATTTGGACCTAAATTGACTTGCCCGTTGCGACGCAGTCGAGAAGGGTCGGATCGTTCCTTGCCGCCGCTTCCCCTTCCTGTTATTATTTGGGCTCAAGTCCCTGTTGTCAGACCAACACCGCTTATTCCTGTCGAGATAAATGTCAAAATTAACAAAAACATCCTCAACGGCACAGTTCACGATAAAAAATGGTTTTGTAACTGCTCCTCTGATGAGTCCGTGGCTCCCAAGGAGAGCTCAAGACGCTGTCGGGTCGAAAGCTGCGTAGATAGGGCATAATAAGGGCCCCAAAAGAGGTTTAGCCGACGTGGACATCCAAAGGCGGACGTGTTCTCGCGGCGCTGTAGAGTGGCGGGTGTGGTGCGATTCACGCGTCAATATAATGAGGTCACCGGACAAAACGCGCTAAAACATCATGACTACAATCATAATGGAAGAAATAAGAACTTATAAGTAGAATAAGTGAAAAAATGACCAACTATGCACGTTTACAGAAATTGCGTTCTCTAGGATCAAAAAATTTGAAGTTATTGTTATTCAGAACGTTGAGAAGTAAACTGCCATAGTGAAGAGTATTGCTCTAATTCATGGTGAAGTCGTGGACTACTGCAAATTTATTTGGTCCATCTCAACAGAAATGTTCTGAAACGATGCTGTGTGCGCAAAGAGCTCCAATGGGGTCATGCGTGAATCGTACGCGAATCGTGCGTGTACCCCCGTAGGGTGGCCCAGAATTTGCACCATTCGCACCGGGACGAACACGCTGCACTCAGCCAGCAGCAATGGCGCAAATCTTGGAGAGCTTGCGCAAATACTGCTTCCATGCAGCTTTTCCGTCTTATTCTCGCCCAACCCCTAAATACCTTTTTTTTCTGAAGACTTATGATTCTCTGAAAACGCCGATATCCGCGTTTTCAGCGGACCCTGCGACGGCGCGGGATTAACGCTAGGGAGAAGAAGAAGAAGAAGAAGCCGATATCCGCGTTTTCTCCACCTTTGCAGTATTCTAAACTACCACTTCCACCTATTCGTCTAGAGCTATGTACACCAAAGTTAATGTGAACTCTGCCTTCAGAAAATGCTGCGGTCGTCTTTAATAATTCCATGGGTATTTCAATTTCAAGGAGTTTTGAACTTTCCAGCAATACGGAGTATCCGCTCACAACTTGATGAGTCAAGAGTTGCGCTGAGAAGTTGATACTGGTTTTGTCGCTGCTTCCGATTGGCTTACATACTTCCCGGCCTTAAGGCAAGGACTAGTGCATCTGGTCCACTTTGTAGAGGGAAGCTTACACTTTGAAACACACCACAGTTGCTGCTCGTGAGAAATTAAAAAACAAAACCTGGGCTGGGATTCCTCAAAAAGCTCTGCGTACCGTCGATGAGTATATGGAGCATCCTATAGCTATAATTCGTACAGTAAACGATCATATCAAATGAGCGTACAAACGTTTAGTTGATGCGGTACATAGTAACTAGCTCACATGAACTCGCCATGTATCTATTTGAAATGCGAAACCTGTGCCGTAATAATTTTGTTATCATATTTAGGGCGCACCTTGTATAATTTAATAGGCTGATTACTAAGCTGTTTTTGCAGAGAAAACCTAGCTTCATGTCTGGCTCTTCTAGGGAGTAGTAGGTACTGTCTTTTGCCTATGCGCAGGTGTGGCCCCTGGTGGGCATTGGCCATCCTTACCCTTTACTTTGCTACGATTAAATGAAGGTAAAACGCTCGAATATCAGCAGGCAAAGCATGAACAGGAGCCACATGCAGTCACCACATCAGCTGAGCTCAGCTATAACTTTGTAACAACGCTCAAGTTGTCGTTGTTCATTTATACCTAATGGTTTCTATTAGAGCGCCTGCAGTTTGTTCGAGCTAGTGCATTATGATTGAACTATGGTCTAGTTCAAGTTAATCTTTTGTGGAAATCTCCCTTGAACTTGATGCCAATTATCGTGGCACTTGTTGAGGACTCTATTTTGATTCGTGGTGAAAGAGAGTCGGATGGCGGAATTTTCGGATGCCAAGCGGAGAATTCTGTGGGTAGGAGTCCGATCATCGAGACACATGTGATAATAGCAGGTTTGTGTATATCTTTTTGTTATTGTCTCATTCTCTTCTTCCGAAGTGGAAGTCTATCATAAGGTTATGTTCTTAAGAACCGCCAGCGTTCATCACCCGCCCGCCACTTGAGCTTCGTGTCCATGAAGGCGCACCGGTCGATGTGAGCTGCAGTGGGTTTGGTGATCCGCTCCCAATTGTTTACTGGGTTCATTCGGAGGCTTGTGTATTCTAAATCTTGTCTACCGTTTTTAAAGATACTTTTCTCTACTTTTTTCAGAGAAGAATCTCTTCAGCTACACTATCTTTTCCATCAGTTTCGCATAATGATTATGGAATGTATGAGTGTATCGTGAGCAACGCTATTTCCACCATTTCCTCTTCAATGAGTTTGATTGTCGAGGTTAGTGTAGAGGAAGTCTGCTGAACATCCATGTCTGACTCTCGATGAACTTTGGCATAGCTTTGCTCAATTCACTTCAATTCGGCGCATCCCTTCAAAACAAAGCGGGCTATTAAACGTAAAATATTTAAGACGGTCATATTGGTGTCATTCGGAAGGCAGGAGAAAACGGACTATTTGGAACATGCAAGAAAGATCGCACTTTCCAATGGTTACGCTCAGGCTCTTTAAAATAGTTATGGAGCACACAAAAAGGAACAAGATGGCCCCACCATCGATAGCTCGGATAAACTAGCGTTCTGCATCCCCTATATCAGTGATGCTATTAGCTCTGAAATAATGGCGGCGCTGCATAGTGTGGCTTAAAGGCACAGTTCACAAAAAAGTGGCTTCAGAGATTTGCACATTTTTTGAATTCAAAGCCCCCTCTGGTATCATTTGTGCAGGAATGAGGTCGGAAAACGGTTTGGATAGGCACAATAAGGGCAGGAACAGTGGGGGACGTCAGGCCTCCGCCCCTCGCTAGGTTGACTACGAGTTCAAATTGTCCTTCACCACTTTCGCATTGGAGCAACATTAGTGAAAAATCGATAGGCTGGTTGGCAGTTTGCCCACAGGCGGTCAGCTGGTCGACCGCCTCGTATTGGGACTACTATTCGGCTGTTTCTCTAGTATTCGACTATATTCTACGCTTTTCTATTCTAATTAATTTTTCTCAGCCGTCGTCAAAAGGTCGAAATTGATACTGCATAATAAATCAGATTAATAGCGGTAGGAGAATTAGTTTTAATGAATAAGCCAAAATCAGCTGTTGGTGTGTTGTGTGCAATGGCAGACACTGCGCCGCGTTTGTCTGACTCGCCCGAAAAATTCTTATCGCCGTTTTTTCGCCATTTAGCTCGTCCGACCCCCCTTTTCCCTTGTTTTTTGTAACTGTCCATTTCTTTATATTCATCTTTTTTCGCGTTTTCTTTATTACCATTGTACTATTGTAGGCCGTATCTAACATTTTTTGTCAAATTTCGCCAAAAAACCGGATACCCCAAAATTAACGTGAGCTGTGCCTTTAAATGACATGGTACGAGTGGTCAAAATCCCACATGAAAATATGAAGCAGCGGCTGGTTTGAAACCGCTGCTACTATCGAATTTGCCCGACTCCCAATTGCGCGACCTGCCCTAATGGGCAGGAGGGTGACTGCATGGCACCAGGCGTGGTTTACCTGATCACATGCAATCTATGTGATAATGAATGTATTGGGGAGGCTCGAACACCTCTGTGCGTTAGAGTTAAGGAACATCTGGAGGGCTTGAATCGAGCAAGGGGAAGACCCCCTCGGGTGCTCACCGAGTAGAGTCCCATGTAGGTGCGGTGTTTGGAATTACAGTTAGGATCCTATTGCGGAAACCCCTCACTTCTGCGCGAAACTCACGCGAGGCATTTTTCATCAGCGCCAAGACCCCAAAAATGAATAGGAAGGAGGAGTGCCTGACCGTAGCTAATGAACCCGCGCCTTTCTCTGACCCCTGTGGCTTTTGTTTGCCCACGGTATCACGACAGGGATAGAGCATATCATCTAAAGTACCCCAAGTCCCTACGGGTCAGTTTAGGGGCGGTCGTCCAAACGACCGGTTGTTCCTCTAGATGGGTTAAATGTGTATAGGGGCATCATGCCCATTTGGAGATATCTGGTCTAGGAAACCGGTTTTTGAAGTTTAATTGTTGAATGAAGGATGGGTAGTGATAATATCAGGTTTCCAGACACTGAAGAAGGCGATAACGCCGAAACGTTGGTTGATAAGAGCTTATTTGCCACCTTGGCAGCAGGTTTTATAAAAGTTTATAAAAACTGAAGTCTCTGAGTCAGTGGAAGACGTTTCCGATAACTCTTCTGCGTTATAATCATAAACCTCTCTGCCGATTTGAATATGCATCCGAGAGCCTCTACTTCTTTTCAATTTGTGGCTTCCAGAGAACTCGCCCACAGGCGGCCGTCATCGATAGCGTTGATTGTGTAGGTAAAGAGGCAATGGTAATCAATTGGATACCAGGTACGGAATAGCTGATTTCTTTCTCCAGTTTTACACAGTTTATTTTTTGCTGGATCATCTCGTTTTAGGGTTTGATGGCTCCTATCCGCAGTCATTTGTCGTCCATTACGGGTCCGATCAGTCCTTGTCGGACAAGACACTTCTGACGACGTCAACATCGGCCACCATCGGCGATTTGACATCGTTCACCAAGTATCGGATTCATATCGAAAGCCGAAATCAGAAAGGCTCGACAAACTCAAGTCCTGTCGAGAAATACGGTTAGTGAAACGAGTGACACCGGTCTTTTGCTAGAGTGCGTTTCAGTGGTATACGTCCACCCATCATTTTAGCAAAAACTTTTCTAAAAAACTTTCCCATCTTAGAGCACATATTATCAGATCCGTGACTCAAGGAAACAGTGAACCTCATCTTTTCAGACAAAAAATTCAAGAAGAAAATTTTATAGAAGCATTTTTCTAAATTTCGACCTTTTCATAATATACGCCCACCCCTGATATATAACTGGAGGAAGTTTTCCTGTTGCAACCGGGGTATATGTTCGTACCAAAGTTGAAGACAACATGTCTTCTTGTGATACCGCGTAGTTTCGTTTTTCCTACAGAAGAAAAGACCCAGATTTGAGCTTTTGAGGCCGGACTCGACGCATTGCCAGGCAAATCAACAGGACTCAGTGCGTGATTTGCGCCTAGCTCAAGGATCCTGATGCCTATCACAACCGAGGTGCCCGGGAACGTCAACGCAAGTTGTCCAGCAGAGATAAACGAGAAATATGCAGGAGAGCTTCGGACAGCACCAGCAGTGTCACCAGATCCTTGCAGGCTTGAAACACACTGCGAAACCACCCTTTGGAGAGCTATCAAACGCAGCGGCATTATTGTGAGAGAAGTTATGAGGGAGGCGCCACGCCCACCAACTCACACAAGATGGCTCTCTCGATTTTCGAAAGAGTGTGACCACGGATCGAAAACAGTTGCAGTCGTGAAGCTAGGCGTAGGTCGAGCACAAGGTAATTTGAAGTCTTCAGATAACCTTCTCCGACGAGGAGAAGATCAACCTGGACGGGCCCGATGAAGAGATGATAATGATGGACCTGAGGAAGGACCCAGTGCAGCTCAGCAGACCTGAATTCTTTGGCGGTTCGCTGATGATTTGGGGAGCCTACTGCTGGGATAGCAGACTTGAGCTCGTTTTTGTATCATGTCGAAAGCACTCGCAAGAGTATCACCAAGTTTTGGAATCCATCTTATCGCCGTTTCTGAGCCGCGGCGACGATAAAGGCTGCTCTTCCAGCAGGACAACGCAAGTGTCCCTAAGTGAACATCCGCAATGTTACAGCAACAGAAAGTTGATATTATGGAGTAGCCTGCGCGCGGTCCCATAAAGAACTTTTTTAGAATTATTGCGCGACGGCTGTACGCCTAAAACAGACAGTTTTTCACCATCGACGAACTGCGAAGTGCGGTCATGGAGGCATGGAGAAACATCAACCCTCCATACCTCAGGAACTTAACAGTGAATATGCCGCATCGACTCAGGAGCTCTCACTCGAACATAGTGCGGCAGATGTTTATTGCTTTTCACTGTTTAGTTGATATAAATAAACTGTTATCTAAAGTGGACGTATAATATAAAGCGGTCGAAATTCGAAAAAGCACTTATGAAACATTTTTCGCAGACTTGAAGACCTGAAAACCTATTTTCCTGCCTAATGCTGCGGCAATTTCCCTAATGCATGCTTCTAATTTGGATCACCCCTTCAAGAAAGGTTTTTCTTGAGATAAGGGGTGGACTTTTACCACTGAAACGCACTTACAGGAAATTTGGCGTCCTTTTGATTTTCCCGACGGCGTCCCAGTTCCATTCCAGCTGTTAATGAAGAACATATGACGAACGAATGATATCAATTAATAACTATTTATATCTTTTCTAGCCCACCCCCTCCCCCAATTCAGCTTAATTACATCCTCAATTACATGAAAAACTGCCTTACGTAATCACAACCTACATTCCTAGTAGTAGTGAACTATACCTTATCACAGAACTATCAGACTGGTGAAAAATAGAAACATAAGGGGATGGCTAGCTATGTTCAATAGGCGCAAAACTTGCACTCCGTTCTCGTTCGCTTTATTTATTTATTTATTTTTTATTTGTTACTACTGTACAGAGTGAGGCGATAATCTTAAATAAATAAGAGTGGCAGACGGTGGTACAATAGGATAAATAAACATAGATTATACACAGCGGCATAATTTAGAAGTCGTAAGGATAATTACATAGAATTTCACATGGGTTGAAGAAAAAAGTAAAAAAAAAAACGACATATGGGCCACAGAACAAATAGGCAGAAAAAATGAAGGGGCATCT